CATACGCGTTTTCAAAAAAATCATATATTTCTTCCATATGATGACTTCATGTTGCCCTTAAGATTAGAGATAACGAGGTGTGCTATAAGAAAAAAGAGAATTAAATATTAATTTTGTTTCTCAATTGACGCTTTATCATTTTGTGGTTCCGCTTTTGCACATCACCAATTGAGGCCCGCGCATAATTTGCTAGATAGGCAAATATGCGATCTGATGTGACCCGTTTTTATGCGTTGCCCATTTGATATATGCATACATGTTAAACAAATTACCACTTTACTTGGTTCGAATTGTCTTATATACCCTTACATGATCTCGAATATACGTATTATGATAAAGAACGTTGCAGACATCTATGATAGTTCATTTCTGACATCATTAAGGTGCATTAGTCATTGGTGTATAGAAGGTGACATATCTAAGGCTAATGATGAGATACAATGGGATTTGATACGTGCGAGCGAGTTCAGTCCACAAATTATGATATCACTTAGTATGATTTGATTTAAAATAATAGCCTTTACATGTGTGCGTACGTCCAAAGAATACAGGTAAATATACAGCTTCGTTTGACATAACTCACCACGTATCGCATAGTAAATTGCGATGCATCAATTACTGTTTCTTATTCATTTTGAATATTTATATGATACTTTTTGGTATTGAGTGCTGTTGCTTGTTTAGTCGACCGTCAATTTTAAGGCAAAGCCCAATAATCGTATGAAGTCAGAATACAATGCGTATTCACTTGCGTTCAAGAAGCAGAATGAATTGTTAGGGTTCGACAAAGATAATTGTTATACATCATGAAAATTACCAACGAATTTCCCTAAATTTGATATTCATTGATCGCATTCGACTTCTTCAACAACGGTACACAGTACGCGTTTGTAGATCATATAATGCATGTTGAGTATAATGGGTAATTTAAAAACGCTATCTAAACGGTACCAAACAATTTGATATTACCTTTAATACCCAATACGTATTTAAATATGAAAAGACAAGAAGTAATCAATTCGCTGTAGCGTTGTTACGAGTAAAATATGAATAATGAAACACAACTAAAAAAAGGTTGGATGGATGATTACCGTAGAGGGTGTATTAGCGCCTATTTATTTTTTCAAATTTTTATACTAATACATTCTCTGCATATCCTGCACGATCAGATTTGTGTGTAATCCAATAACACATGAGCGGTAGCATTTGTGTATTATTTTTATTTTTTGCTCAAATTTTTTAAATTTTTAGTATTAGAAGCGGCAAAAGACCGTTAGTTTGGTGGTCGCGTTTAGAATTATTTTCATGTCAGCGGTACTCATGCCCGATCGATTGATTTTAACATTCCGCGCATGAAATATTGTAATGTTCGCTTCTTTTCTTTCAAATTATTACGTGCCACCACGCTCTGGCCGGTATACGAAAACAATTCGCCATAAAGAAGCAGTTTCATACAAAATATACGCGTAATTCATAGAAGCTGTTGATCAAAAAGCACTACGACAGATATGGCTGCCGCAATGTTCCAAGCAACACGCAAATATATTCCATTCTTATCGTACCCATTATGGATTAGAATTTTATGAATACAGGTTTCTTGTAATATAAGTCCCCTTAATTTAATAAATAAACTCTATTATGTACAAAAATATGGAGGATTTCCTACAATGCTAACTTTTTGTGATTTATACAACAATCAAAGACAAGACATTCTGCTGCCTAATACACCTTCTCTGGATATGGACCTTAATTATGTCCTTCATAAGGTGCATAAACAATAAATTTACAATGGTATTACCAGATCTTGCACGTGTACGTCTTATACAGGTACGTTCATCATTAATTAAATATCGGCCAAGGCTGATATCGATACAAATTTTAAAATATATTTCAAATTATATTAAATTTTAAATTTAGTTTATGCTGATTATCTCATATATTAATAAGCATAGATATGATAAATTATGATGCTGTAGAACAGGTGTGTTTTTGATTTTAGTCTGCACGGTCGATCTTATACGCCTCGTCGATATGTTATAGCAGTGAGAAGATCCTATTTCTGAAATCGGCATCGTGTGCAGTCATAAATGCAAATTATACCTAGATTAGGTAACCTATAAAGTTTGAATATAGATTGGTAGTTGCAAGCAATAAGCTAGGAAAAGAGGAGGAAGCGCAAGGCTTCAAGCTCTTATCCAAAGATATTATTGACTTGTACAACCGCGTCACGTATCAGAAGGTTTGCTCGGATACTTGAATTCGGCATGTTTTATTATCATAATTGTAAGCAGCCTGTTGTTAGTGGGTCATAGTGTCGGTGTTTCGACTTATAAAAAAATCAATATAGACTTAGCGGTGATTAATATACGCTTCATTACACAATACCAAGAAGTTTCATGTAGTCAATAGAAAAACGACGCAGAAAGGTAGAAAGAAGGTACGAACAGATCCGGTAAAAATTATTGATTTCTAAAGTAGACGATTGGACTTGTTATAAGTGAGCCATACATAATGACTTCAGAGAATGTTTGTTTAATAATATTGTCATCGGCCGCAATATTAATGGGTATAGATGGATTGACAGGAGCAATGTTATCATATACAGAGGCTGGATTGAACTTGGATAATAGTTTGAGACCCCCTCTCGACGGACTTAATAACGCAAGTGGTAAACAAGATTAATAAAGCGTAGACTTAGATCAAACATTTATTAATGTTAGATGTCAAATCAACCTCGCGATGACTTCTTAAAGATATTCGGCTAGTAATTAGTCTGCGGAGATTAGCTACACGGAAAAAGGAATCTTTGAGACCCCTAACACAAGAATATGATATCTTAGCTTGTCTGGCACATTTATACTTTTCTGTGAAAGACATAAAAACAGGTGAATTTTTTGCAAAAACTTCTGGCTCAGACGTGTTTGCAATGCCACACAGCATAAAATTTAAAATATATCATGTGTGTTATAAGATGCGCCTTAGCTGCTTCTAATATATAGTCACGACAGAAGCTAGACATCAAAATTGATAAACAAATAATTTCTGGCAAAAAGCAACGTCTAAAAGGGCAGAATAAGCAATGCAGAACATTTTCACAACACGAACGCTGAATAAATAACAACACCGACGAGAAGCCATACCCTTAAAGAGTCAGCAATTTTTGCCTCGATTTCGAAGAATTGCAGTCTTTGCGACGCTTTCTGAAATCGACAGAGAAAAGAGAGGAACACGGTCGAATCACGGATCTTGATAACAATTATTGGAGAAATTAAACTTGATTAATTTCTGTTAAAATAAAGGCATAATTCGAGTTTGACTACTTCGGGAATTATAAAATGTCGACTTATAGTTAGCTGTGGAGAGATAGAAATTCAATCTGTGATAAATGAAGAAGAAATCAATTCCATTTTCCCTGCAAAGGCTTTTTAACTCTCACTCATTGTATCATGAAAGGACATCATTCTCACACGATAGCATGTAAGGCGAACTTAACGAGTCTATATGGCATAGGCGACAATGTTTGCAACCTAAATTTTCGGCACTTACTCATGATCTGGTTTCCAATGCAGAAGTGGTCGGCAGTATAATTCTAGCCTCAAAAATATTGAATTAAATCATAACCATCTTCGTTGACGATGCAGTGATTGTGACAAAACCAGATTTTGATATAAGTTTACCTGACTTACCACCTGCTCAAGATGTTCGCCTGACATTAATTTAGATAATGCGTATATATATTAGAAGATAAGATATATAAAAATATATGGAACCACTACTCTTGTCACTTAAGTACTTGCATGATCTACAAAAAATTAATATTATCGACAAAATAGAGAGCAGAGTTATAAGCACGAGCACAATTTTGCATACTTTGCTGTACCAGACGGCATCGGAGACATTCCTGTAATATATAATACATCCGTATGTACTTGTCTGTAGTATATCCAATTTGTGATTGACTGAACAATGGCCAAAGAGACGTATTATTCAGGCTGATAAAGCACTTATAGTGCAGACTGTACCCGAGAAAATTACTGCGAAAATCACATAGTAAAGCGCTCGACTAAAACACAAGGCAAGAAATTATGTCATTTTGCTGATCTCCTAATCCCTGAAATGAAGTATGGCCTACCATTCTCCGCTTTTTCTTTTTTTTGGATGCATGATTACGCTAACCGAAAAAGTCAGTGTCGAATTTTGTACCGAAGGCTTCAGGAACGAGCACATTAGTCATAGAATAAAGTGGAAGAAGGCCAACGCGGTAATGAAATAGTTATTGTTATTTCTTTGTGCATGTGGGCTTATTAATGATTGTTGCGAGGTACAACGGCATTTGTTACGTCAATATCTAACAGACAGGAATTAGTATATTGCAATATGACCAAGGACACCGGGAAATACTTCTGGTTCTGTCTACTTCAAATATATATTATTCAATAAGGCCTAATTAAGGGCGAATAGAATTAGTTAATAATGGAAATTTGCAAAAGTATAAGGCTTGTAAATTTTCGCTTATACGGAGAGTACTTGGGTGGTATCATCTTATTATTTTTCACCTTATAGTGCAATTTTTACAATAAGTCAATGCAAATAAATTTGTTCCCCATGATGCTTTTATATGACCTCAGTGTGGCAGCAAAATCTATTTAAAGGCAGAAAAATAAACCAGCGTAGACACAAGCTGACTTCCGGCGTTGAAACTGCGATTATTTTTCGCATAGTGCAATAACGACAACAAACACGAAAAGCCTTAATCTAATGTTGAGCTGCCGGTACCAACGTCTATCTCAGACACGTTCTTATCTGTGCCCTTACAAACTAATTACCCGTAATAACGTTAAAAAGGCACCTTATAGCTTCCACATAATGGATTCCAAGCTCTCTTCGGTTCTGTGCGCGACATGAACCTGACAGTCGAACACAACGAGACTTTCTCTGCAACAACTTACCACCCAAACTGGCACAATTGACTTACTGCCACAAGAGTTATCGACTCGTACATGACGACCGCAGATCGAGCCGAGGAGCTCAAGCTGCAGGGCAACAAGTACTTTAACAAGGGCAAATTTTGCGCTGCCATTGACATGTACACAGAAGCCATTGTACGTGGACTGTCCCTTCCCCCTCACACACCGCTTACTGTCCATTGTTGCCAACACTTTGCTTTACATCACCGAATGACAGGTTCTGGCTCCAAAACGCTCCACTTATTACTCCAATCGTGCCTTGTGCCACTGTAAGCTTGAGAAGTGGGGCGACTGCCGAGACGACTGCCACGCGGCGCTTCAGTTGGATGCTATGAATGCCAAAGCGAGTTCCATGCTAGGCACAAGTCACATGCACCTGCTGGCCTTTGACATGGCCGTGGATGCGCTGCAAAAGGCACTCAGTAGTGCGAAAAAGGTTGAGAAATATGGCAATTTTCAGGATGATATTGCTGCAGAGTTAAAGCGAGTCAAGAAGCGCCAGTGGTATCACGAGCAGGAGCAGCGGATCGCCCGCCACGCCAAGAGCATGAGCCAATTGCGTCGACTTTTTCAGAACCAGTCGATCGAACATGTGCGAGAAGTAGAAACAAAGATTGATGGGGCAGACGCGTTGATGGCTTACGTGGAGCACATGGCAGAGACATTCGAGAAAGACATGCACCCGGGCGGCGTGCCCGACTATTTCATGTGTCCTATCAGTATGGAAGTCATGTGCGATCCTGTGACAACGCCTAATGGCGTCTCGTACGTAGCTGTTGTGATGGCGTCTGGATGTATACAAGTAACTTGCTGACTCCTTGTCGATGTGTAGATACGAACGACGCTGTTTAGAAAAACATTTGCGCTCGAATGGAGCAGTCGATCCGTTGACACGCGAGCAACTGACACTTGATATGATTCGGCCGAACACGTCGTTACGTGGAGCAATTCAAGATTACCTTGACAAGAATGCGTGGGCGTACGAGTTTTAGTGCCTATCCGGACTGGTGAAGGATCTGCAAAAGCGCGAAAAACTTGTTGTTTGGACATGTCGCCATTGAAATGAATCTAGCCCAGATTGCTTGTATAGCAGAACAATTGTTAAGGAAGTATGATGCTGTAAGCATAGTTGCGATGGGAATCACGAACGATAAAAGTGCCGGCAGCACCATTTAGTCTACCACGTTGCAGCGAGGACACACATATAAAATCAGTCGTATGCTAACATCAATTCATATTTAAAAGCATAGTCTAGCACGTGTGAGGATTAAACAAGACATTGGGTCCACGATGAGATTATTCCATCCATGCTTACGAAAGCCGCGCAAAGATGTCAAGAACACAACGAACACTGCCACTAATTTACATACTGGTTTCGCCGCTTGTCACCCTGCAGCGCCTGAATTGATATAAGTAGCTTTATGGTGCGTCAATTTGCACATCGCAAACTTTTCATCCTACAGCCAAGATGCGCCTCAAAATCTTCTGAGGTACGTCATTGATAACAAAGTGCTGCCATGTAGTAAAATCGCGGCCCCAATTTACTTGGAATATCATTTACTCAGTTATGCACATCAAATAGATTAAAAAGCCATCGGCAACACTCCCAAATGGCGTTGTGCTGGTGACACCGTCCGTTTTGGTCAAATAAACTTCACTCGAGGGCTTCACAGACGCTGTAGTAGATTGTCGCCATTGACTATGTCTTTACGATCATATCTCCAGATTTTTTTGCGACAGTTTTAAAAGACACTTCGCTGTTCCGCTTCGGTAGCAATACACTGTTACTGTATGTGCTCCAATCTTGACTGAAAAGACGCAAACAACTGTAAGGGCAGCGCGACATTGTATCTCAAGTCAAGGCAATTGCTGAGCTACTTGATAACCCATTCTGTGCGTAAACATTTACATGAATGACGCGTTACACTCATGTTTATACAATGCGACATTCCGTTCTGACTTTACTGGCATGCTCCGGCCGTTCCTGCCTCTTCATTGAATGTCTTGACCAAATTCAGCTCCTTTTTTGCAAAAACCTAGGTATGTATTGTTTTTTACGGCAATTCAATCTCGATAATTTGTGTGCTTACTAATTATCGAACGTAGGGTGAGTTTCAATGACATAAGCACCAGCAAGTGGTGCTGTAGAACCTCAAGCAGCCAACTCGAACATACATAAACCACTTCAAGTGTCAAATGAGGCAACCTGGCACCCTTGAAGCTACAATGCCAATTAAATTTCTGTTATGTAACGAATGACGAGCAGGTCGATCGACGAAAGTGCTCGATATTCTTAAGGCAATAAAAGCGTTACATTTTCGTCGTAGCAGCATCTTGCACCTGGCGATTACATTACACGATAGCCAGCAACATAATAGCACATGGCAAATCAGCAATATATTATTGACTTCACGCGCATTCACTAATGCACTTGTACCAACTGCAGTCTCGGCTGCAAAATGTTGTCATCATTTTACAGCTTCGAAGATAGCACAAAGTTGTCCTTTGTTACAAGTTAAGGCATCAAGGCGGCCGTCCATACCGATACACATCAGATTAAAATATGGCGGGACTTCGATCAAAGCTGTAGTCGTGCACGTCATAAAAACTCATGGAATCAGCGCGTACAATAGTTATTGACACAACTAAGGGTCTGGTGAGAAAGTAGCTTGATTCGCTGAAGTGGTACGTACTCATCTTCTCAGGGTTATCGTGCTTGTTCAAAAACGCCTTTATCCGTGCGTAAACACACGCAAGTCCATTCGTACTAACAATCAGGTATCAAAATTAAAATTATTAATCTGCGATCGATCTTCGGAGGTCCACGACTACGTTACAGCGCAAGAAATGTCCGACAACGTGAAAAATACTACGCGGTGTTTGAATGCTAGAACAAGCCTTGGCAAAAACACGGTTGTAGATCGAGGATGGCTTCATTAAATCCCTATTCACAACAAGGAATAGAATACGACGTATGTGCTTGCTGTTACATACTTGATAGAGTTCAACATTTTTATGAAGTCCATGAGGAAGAGACGTCAAAATGTACACGAACCAGGCAAAAGCTTAGGTCCAACATAAACAATATCTCAACTGACGTGTTGATATACCCCATTTAAAAATAATGATGCGTCTGAGTAAAGAGTCCGAGTAAAAGCAGCTGTGTTACACCCTCTTCGTGATCGTATATGTATAGATCAATTCCGTAAATCGTAAACAATCTATTAATTCAGATTTTACTTATGCTTTGCCCATTGTACTATTAACTAAGTACTTCGGTAGTCCATGCAAGCTGTTAGTCAAAGCTCGCAACATTATAGAATGCACGGCAGTTCCTACCCCAATGACAATGCTACGTTTTACGCGTACATCGTCTATCAAAGCACTGCACATATTTGGCTGCATGCTGCACATAGTTGACATGTCCCGTGTCATTTGTTCCGTTGACATTCGTTGTTAAAGTTGTGTGGGGCGCCTAAATCAGAGATGCACGTGTAATCTATTTTGACAGATCCGATACAGTCTTTTTTAACCCACGGAGTTAATATAGAAAGACCCAACGACTTCAAAAACCGTGACATTCATCATATAGAAAGACAGAAGAGTCAAATTTACTTTCATCACCAAAAAACATATATAACTAAATCGATATTTGCACTTATATTCTGCAAAAAAAAACGAATCTTTTAAATACTACGTCAAGTTGTACATACAGTTCGACCAGTGTAGCTATAGGGTCATAGATGACGATCAGTAATCTTTGATAACGATGAGCAATAAAAAAGATTCAGTTTATCATGACCTTAAGGCGGTGATCATGTCACAGTTCTTCCGTTGATGGCAGTCATTGGAGGCATGATAAGTTTGAGCAATAAATTATTGAATGTGCCCACTATAATGTCAAGGGATGGTAAATAATCTTCGTTTGTGAACGTACAACTAATAAGGCCATCCAGTGGAAAACGGGGTATGAGTGGATGACCAAAAATTCGCTTGCTTAAGACTTTCCAATTAACGCTTCGACACTTATATTAAGGCTAGCGCGCACAGGTCATACGTTATAATTTCATTATGTCACTCTACAAGTCGACAAAGATACAAACACATTCATCACAACCTTGTCCCTACAATGTTAAGCAAAAACTAGCGCGGCACAAACCTATGTGATACTTTTTATGTATTTTTCTCATTACCGTAAGTCAAAGATGGAAAGGTAATTCTTTTGGTTAAACGTCTGTAGTTCAGAAAGATCAGCGAGTAGGCAAATCATGTCAGAGCATAAACGTGGTCTGAGTCGTACAATACAATATGGAATAATACCGATTATAATCATCGACCTAGAATAATCGTCTTTTGTGTATCAAAGTTTCTTTCTCCAACTACTGAAGATATATGAAGCAAGGAATTAGGATACAAAATCTGGCTTCATCTTTTTATTTGACGGCAATTATCTTATCCTAGAGCGAATTTTTAGTAATTCTAGTTCGGGATGTTAGTCGAATATAAATACGGGGCGATAACAACGTCTGGTACGCACAAAACTCTTTTGGTATAGACCAGGACCACTTTTAATCGTCTTGACCACACTTAGACGCCATTGAATCTATTGCTTCTTAATGAGGTTACGTATGACCGCTCGAGAAGAAGATTATAGTGCATGAATGAACATATTCGCATTGTTTGGCGCGTAATAGCAGTTAAAAAATTGCGTATCAAATATCTAATTCAACAAGGTCAATAAGACCTACAAAAATACGAAGAGGTTCAGATGAACTTTAATACTTGAGTGTGTCAATCTGGCAATCAATAAATATACGTCAAACCTGCGATACAATGGTATTTTGTCAAAAATTAAAATTCCACGCTACTGCAAAAAATATATCACAAGCACGAAATAGCGTCACACAGCATAATATATTTTTTAAATAGAGTGCTATGCCATGAGGTAAATTCTAATAATTCGTTTTTAATCGACAAAAAATGTAACGTATGACATGTTATAAAGGTCACGTCTGTCCTAAAACTGACCCAAAGAGGGAAATTAACAATGACCAAGGCCAGCGTAAATTTTGTAACGCATATTAAATTCTCGAACACTACGTTTCTGTGCTAGACTCCGCAACTTCTGATAAACAATTGATTAATGCCAGCATATCGAATAACAAAAGAGTCTAATAAATAATGGAACAGCACGATGGGCCCTTAGCAGATCGATAGGTGGTGTTTGTATCGGGATGTAGTGAAGATAGTTTAAAGGTGTTTAAAACAGATGTAGGTACGAGCTTGGACATACCGAATGAAGTTCTCTTTTTACCTGTGAAAACTCGTGTCATCGTGTCTTGATTTGCTTTTTCTGCACGTACATGTACGTTAAAGTTCAAGACTTATACATACATGTCATTTCGGGCCACTATACGACATGCAGTATAAGCTCTCTTGATCCGTCATATCCTCTAGCATTTGGTGGTTTATCTTACGATTACGGGTTCATCCACCATGGAACTAGTAAGTGAGATCAGCGCTTACGACAACGTTTAAATACTTTTCCATAAGGTCGATATTGAAGGGGGTATGGTACAACGAATGAGAACGATCGGGGGTATCCCGGACATAATGTTTTGTAATTTGTCCCAAGAAGACGCGAAACATTCCTCAATCGACAACTTCATGCAGAATACATGACGCGGCTGACGAAATAGTAACTTAGATGTATCAGCAAGTTCGATCAATGGTATGGGCTGTTATGAATGCGAGATATTTATAAAGTTTGCAACCGACGCATATTCGTCAGATTTTCTGGTAGCTTAAGATATCAAATCTACAACCTCAAGATAGTCGATGGAGATTTCTGAATAAGATTACCCATTTAGCTTAACGGCGACATTCAATCGTCGCCATGGAAGATGCGATGGAATCGAAGTTCCACATATCCAATCACGTGCCAAATCCTGGACCTTAGGTATTAGGCTCCACGACGTGTGCGCATTTGTAT